GCCCCTGGGGGCTGGCGCTTGCGTTCTGGTGCCAGCGCCTTCCCGTTCCGTGTCGGCGTGGAGCTTTGGCGAGAGCCGCTCTGGGATCAGCGGTTCGAACGAGGTCAGGCCGATCTCCCGCGCGGATCGACCCGCGGCACCCACGCCTCCACGTAGCAGGCCGTCGTCCAGCTTCCCCTCTGCCGAGACCTCTTCGTCTAGCGTCAGGTCGTGTTCGACGGGCTCCTCCGCGTCGCCGTGCAAGCCGCAGACGACCTCTCCCCCTGCGCGCCACTTGGCGGCGCACTGAGTGTCGCCAGACTCTGCGCGTGATATCCGAGCCGTCGCGCGTGGCGCCGTTGGAGTGCACTGCGTGTCCTCGAAGACGTCGCCGAAGAGGTCCTCTACCTCCTGGTCCAGCTAAATGTGCACAGTTGCTGCCTCCGTTGTAGTCGCGGGTGTCGACCGTCTGTCGTGGCGGTCCTCCTCGCAGGTGCAGCTTGTTTGGCTGGAAGCTTGGCGGCCCGTCGGTGGCGAAATGGCCGCGGGAACTGAGACTGGAGCACCTTCACCGCGGTGTCGAGCAGTCCCCGGAATCTTCTCAGCATCCCGAGCAGCGGGGGCATAGCCTCGGCGCGCTTGGTCGCCTCTCTGGTGTTGACGCTTTCCTGGCATGTCCGTTTGCTGTGCCGCGGCTCATACTTCGGCGCGTGGGCCCAGGCGGCGAACAGCACTAGCAGCAGCATGTGCCTGGCTTTGGACTGGGCGTGCCGTTTTCGCCGTTGATGCGTGCTCGCCTGAGCTGGCACAGGCCCCATCGACGCGGTCGATGTCCACGCGCTGTGTGGCCACGTCGGCTCCTTGGTGAACGCCTCTGCCGCTGCCGCTTGAACTGCTCCACCTAGCGCCTCTGCGTGGTCATTGGGGTGTAGGTGGACTGGCGCATCTGGTAACTGTTGCAGCAGATGCTCGAAGTGCTCGCGGCATGCTGGCAGTTCGAGCTTCGCCTTGTCAATTCCCATGCCATGCCGCTGCGGGCCCGGCTGCTCCGCGCCCAGTTCCAGCCCGACAGTGAGGTCCACCAGTGCGTGGTCTTGGCGGGATACGGCCAGCTCGATGTCGCGGTTGATCCCTTGGTCTTGCACTCTGGTGAGCATCTGCGGCGAGATGGCGATGTAGTCCAGCCTTTGCTCCCTGCGCTTGCCACCCTTGGCCATGCAGCTCCACGTGGTGCACGTGTTACTTCTAGAAGATAGGAGCGCGCTGGGGAGGCAAAAACCGACCTCTGAGGTGAAACCTCGTAGGCATGCACTTGTGCGGTTCTCATTGACTGCGCCGTAGTGCCCGATGGCCTGCGCGCCAATGCTGCCGACCCTGGCGTTGGCGTCCATGAGACACGGGAGTCTCGTGGACGGCGATGGCCTCGTCTTCAGCAGTTTCTCCGTAGCTTGCCACCATTCTTTGCAGGCGGCAGGAGGTGCTCCGCTGTGCGGGGCATGGCCCACGAATATGTCGATGTTGAGCCTTGCGGACCTGATGCTGGCCAGGAGCCTGCGTGGATCCGCGTGCACGATGGCCACGCTGCTGTCGCTGAGCTGCGCGCCCTCCCCCAACGCTGCCTTGGTGTTGACCCGGAGGGAGACCCCGAGCTGACCCTCTGTCGTGGCGGCGGCATGGTAGATGCTATAGTCGCCGACTCTGATCAAGGAGTCCCTCGGGGCCCTCGTCTCCTGGGCGCCGACGAAGTGGTGCCCGTATGGGGCCAAACTGGCCGGCCAGCATGCGCACCCTGCCTGGCAGCATCACCCCTGCGAAGGCTTTGGCTTTGCCTTCTCGCTCCTTGGTGGGGTCGAGCGTGAGGACATTGGCCACGGTGAGCTTGAGCACTATGCTGGTTGGCGGCTGCCCCCTGCCTCCCCCTGCAGGGGCCCTGGACAGTCGGCTTTCGAGAAACTGCCTGGGCCCGCGGACCGATGGATCCAACTTGGGGGCTTCGCTCCAGGAGAAGGGAACTGAGAGCGGACACAGGTGGGGGGGGGCAGCCGCTAGCCAAAGCCACGAGACCTCCTGGAGGTGGGCGAACAACTGGTCCCAGACCTGGTCGCTGCACTGGGCCCCTATGATGCCGCCCCTGGCGAGCGTCGCGATGGCGTCCTCGAGCTCGTTCCACCCGTCGGCCATGCGGCCTGGCACGTGTTTCCAGTTGTAGACGGTGATGTGCCGCAGGACCTCGCGAGGCCGTCGAGGGCGATGGAGTGCGGCCTGTAGGTGGCCAGCGGTGCGCCTCCTTGCGGTCTGTGTGCGCGACGACATGCGGGAAGCCCTCCTCGTCCACTCCGAGGGCGGCATGCAGCTGCAGCGACCAAAGCACTGCCGCTATCCCCGCGCAGAGCTCAGCCTCAACTGAGGGTTCGTGGAAGAGATTTGCAAGCCCTGGCACGGCTTGCCCGAGATACCCGAGCACAGAGCACTTCCCTTGCACGTCCGTGTTGATGACGACAACGGCCCAGGATGGTGGCCCTGGGATGTCTCCTTTTGTGGCGCCTCTTCAGCCATCTGTGTAGATGTCGAGGCGCTCTTACCGCAGCGGCGTCTGCGGCGGCTGGCCGGCTTGGCAGTCTGCAATCAGCAAGTGCGTGGCCGAGTGAAAATTCTGCTCTAGGCTGGCTCTGCCTTCGAGCTTGGTGAGCTGGAGTGGGCACGCCGCTCGTAGCGCTTGCAGTCCCTGGCGACCGTCTGGCATCGGCACTGTGCGAGCAGGCCGTCCTTCGTGAGGAAGAGCTGGCAGCGGCACTGCCGGCGGCGCAGGGGCCGCGCCCGCGTCGTCGCAGGCCGCGATGGCCGCGGCGGGGCCCCGCAACCGTCAAAGCCGCGCGTCATCCTCGGCCTCTGCGGCCGCGCCAGAGGCTGACGCCCCTCCTGCCGCTGATGCTGCGGCTCCCGCATCTCCCTTGTCCACCGGGCTGCGGCTGCGGATCTCTCTTCGCTCCTCGTCTTCTGCTGCCCGCCTTCCAGATTGGAACATGCTCTGCATCTGCGCCCTGGCCGCTGCCGCCTTGGCCTTGGCCTCCTCTGCGGCCTTCTTCTTAGCCTCCTGCTTGGCGGCCTTGGCTGTGTCGTCGCCTCCTGCGCCCTGGGACCATTCGGCCGCTGCAGCAGCTGGCGGCTGCGCTGCCGCTGGCATGCCCTTGGTCTGCTCCAGGGCGGCCATGAGCTGCGCCATGCGCCCGGACATCTCGCCGATCTGCGTCTCCATCGCTGCCATGCGGCTCTGGTTTCTCGCCCGCGCTGCGGCGCTGCTGGGGCCGCCTGACACGACGGTGTCGCCTGGCTGGCAGTCGTCCATGCATCCGCTCTCGTTGTGGGTCATTGGCGATGCAGCTGATCTTGTCGCCCTCCTCGTCGCTGTCTGTGATGCCTTCCGCCCAGGGGCCTGACTCGGGCCCTGGCTGCGGTGCTGCAGCAGCTGGGGGCTCGGTGTACGCTGGGCCTTATCGGCGTCGAGCTCCGCCGCCTTCAGCCTCATCTGCGCTGCCAGTTCTGCGTCCCGAGCGGCGGTGAGCATCTTCTTGGCCTTGCTGACGTAGGCTTCCTGGCGCTCCTGCCTCTGCCATGGGTCCTTGGCCATGATGACCTGGCAGAGGATGGCGGCGTGCTCGCGTTCGGCCTGGTCCAACCTCTTCTGGTCGGGCTCTGGCAGTCCTCTGATCGCTCTGACTCTGCCCTCTGCCGCAAGCAGCGCCTTGCGCAGGGGCTCGAAATTGTTTGAGCCCAGCAGCGAGCGGGGGCGGCTGCACCCGCGCCTTGTGCTTCTTGGCCTCCATGGGTAGCAGCGGCAGGACGCCCATGGGGCCCTTGCCCGCTGCCTGCTGCGCCGTTCATGATGACTCCTTCTGGCTCCACTGCGCCTGGCTGCGTTCACCTCCTCCCCGCCGGCGGCTGTGCTGCCTCGGGGCGCCGCCGTTTGCCTTCCACGGCGGCAAGGTCCTTTTCTTCTCCCCGCAATTTCGGCAAGTGCTGCGGCTGGAGAAGTTCTGGGTGACGCAGCCCTTGCATGTCCACGATGTCGATCCGTTGCCCTGCCGCGGGGCCGACGATGACCTTACTTTCTTGTCGCCCTTGGCCATGGCGGCGGGCTGTTGGCTGTTGCGGTGACTGGCCAGCAGGCCCGCGGCGGCGTCCAGCCGCAGCAGCGTGCGAGCCCAGGCTCGCCGCCGCCTCCGGCGCCGGTGCCAGGCGGGATCGGGGGCGCGGATGGCCGCGCCGCCCGTGGCCGCGCGCGCTCTAGCGGTCGTCGCTGCACCTGTTGCAGCACCCAAATCGACACGCCTCGAGCTGTCGCGGCAACTTGAGCCAAAATGGCGACAGCGGAGGGAGGGGGGAGGAGGGAGGAGGGAGGAGGAGGGTGAAGAGGAGGGTGAAGAGGAGGAGGAAGAGGGGAGAGGAGGAGGAGGAGGAGGAGGAGGAGGAGGAGGAGGAGGGGGAGGAGGAGGAGGAGGAGGGGAGGAGGAGGGGGGGAGGGGGGAGGGGGGGGGGAGGGGGAGGGGGACGAGGCGGAGGAGGAGGAGGAGGAGGAGGAGGGAGGAGGGGAGGAGGAGGAGGAGGAGGAGGAGGAGGAGGAGGAGGAGGAGGAGGAGGAGGAGGAGGAGGAGGAGCTCCAATGCAGCGCGCCACGCCATGCCGGCGAAAAACCTCCCCGTCGCGAGTTTTTCCCAGCGCGAGGGGGTCGAGGGACGGGGCGCGAGGGGACGCGGAGAGGGCGGGGTGCTCGACGGCTTGCAGAAGGGGGGGAGGGGGGGGGGCGGCGGCCGTCCAGGAAGGCGCCCTCCTCGCCCTCCTCGCCCTCGACAGGCGCGCCGTCCTCGCCCTCCTCGCTCTCAGGAAGGCGCCGTCCTCGCCGTCCTCGCCCTTCCTTGTGCACGCCGCCACGGCGCGCACAAAGAAGGGCCAGCATCGCGCATGTCGTCGTCGTCGTCGTCGTCGTCGTCGTCGTCGTCGTCGTCGTCGTCGTCGTCGCGTAGGTGTAGCATGGCCGAGCCCGCCTCGCCGCGGGAGGAGCAGGACGGGGCCGCCCGCCGGCGGGCGCTGGCGCGCCAGCTGCTGGAGCGGGCGCGGCCGCTGGTCGAGGACCGGCGCACGAGTAGGGCAGCGACCCCCCCTCCCCACGAGAAAAGAAGAAATCAAACCATACAGTGGAGGCCCATGCCAAGAAACACCCTGCCTACCTCCAGGGTGCCCTGGGTGTCTTGGGTTTCGATGGTTTTGCCGTGGAACGCGTGGCGTTCCCACACCAAGAATCGATGAACGACCTGGGGTCCCAGGGTTGGGTTTCGTGTGGAAGGTTTCTTGTGGACGGGCCTCCACTGTCAACATGAACTTTTGGCACATGTTCTGCAGCCCTCACTAGCAGCACATTGCACAGGCAACCCCCGGCCGACTCCGGAAGACCAGCGCCACATCGCCGACACCTCGTGTAGAAGAAGAAGAAATTATCCTGCGACGTACCCAACCCATTTGCATCAAGTGGCCCGATGGATCGGCGAGTATCGTCGTGAAGAACGCAGCCCCCCAGGAATGGCGAGCTCTAATCCTGATCTGCGGTGAGTACCCTCTCTGCTGGCGTCCCCAGCAGCCCTCGAAAGTGGCGACAGTTTCGCAGATCGCAGCCCCCCAGGGATGGCGCGCTATTATTCTGGTCTGCGGTGAGTACCCTCTCTGCTGGCCTCCCCAGCAGCCCTCGAAAGCGGCAACAGTTTCGCAGATCGCAGCCCCCCTGAGTCCGCGAGGGGGAGGGAGGAGAGAGGAGGGGGGGCGGGAGCGGAAGGAGAAGCGCAGGCGGTGCTGTATTCAAAACGAGAACCCAACACAGGAGGAGGAGGGAGGCAGGATGAGAAGGAGGAGAGAAGAGGAGGAGGAGACGCGACCCCACTGCTCTCTTCAAAACAAGAACCCAACCGAGGAGGGTTGGGAACAAACAGAAAACGCCATAAACATGAGACTTGTGGCGCTACGCGCGGAATTCTTGGATCACCGCGGGGACCCCCCGGCGGCGCCTCCTGCGCCGCCCTTGGCGCGCTCCGCGCGCCAGAGAGGGGGGTCCCGCGCAGATCAAAGAAATCCGCGTGGAGAAACAGCAGTTTATGTTTAAGGCGTTTTTCTTGTACACAAGGCGTCGGCGATGCGGCGCTGGTCTTCCGAAGTCGGTCAGAGGTTGCCTGTGCAATGTGCTGTGAGTGAGGGCTGCAGAACATGTGCTGCAGATATGCTTCGACACTGTGGTCGAAGAGCGCGGTCCGAGTAGGCGCATGGTCGAACCTGGGGCAAGTGTCGTGAGGGTTGGCGGAAAGGTATAGGGCTGCGCAGTTTGAAGCACTTCGTGGTAGCTGTCAGGTAAACAACGAATAGGTCAAGAGCCAAACACTTCACGCACCATATCACGTAGGGGCCAGCGATTGCACGGGCAAGTTTGTTAGCCTGGATGGGCCAATAAGCAACTGTATGGCCGAATTGAAATTGGTCACCACAAATTTTCTTCTTGCCCATCGCCCCATCGAAAACCCTCATCCCCGTTCTCAAGAATGAACGACTGTGCTTCTGCGCGCGGTGGCAGACGGCAATAGGGCTGCGTACTTGGGGGAGCTCTTACGCAGAGGCCTGCTGCAGGGGAAGGAGAGGATCAGGTTGGTGAGGGTTCTTCTGGTGAGGATCAGTTAGGTGGGTGAGGATTCGATTGGAGAGGATTACTTTGTATCTGCGAGGAGCTGTAATTTGGGATGCTGCCTTCACTTCGATGGTGGCCGGGATCCATTCGACCACTGCCGCGCTCTCATGCGAGAAATTCAAGTTGCGCGCGTGCGTTCCTGGAAGCTCGCGAATTCTCTCGCAGTCTGTAGTCGATTGCTTGTTGGCGACGCTTGAATCAACGAACCAACGTCAGGCATTCGGTTCGATGCGGCTATGACTGCTAGTCATTGGTTGATATTAGCGCCGCTGCTTGCGGTGAAAGCTCATGCCGAGCACTTGGAAAGTGCCGCTGCTAACGATGGGCACGATGCAGGAATTGCTAATGCGAGTTAAAGCGAAATAATACCTAC